AAGGATAAAGAATATGCCTCATAACTAAAGACCATACTAAAAGACCCATGTCCTATCAAGTGGAAATCAAAACCTCCAAAAACACAAGATAATTAGTTAATTTTATTTCCCTGCCTCCTACAATAAAAATAAGAAAAGGTCAGAGGAATATATCAGAATCTAACATCGCTACAACAAATGTGCCATGGAGATTGGCATGTAACAACAATAATAATATACTAGACATACAAAGAAGGCAGATGTGATCCATAACAAGAAAAATAACAGTCAATTGAAGTAGACTTGCACATGACTTGGATGTTGTAATTAGCAGATAAGAATTTTAAAATAATAATTATAATTAATACTTAAAGGAAAATACAGTCATAATGAATAACATAATTTCAGCAGAGAAAGAAAAACTATTTATAAATATAAATGGAAATTCTAAAACCTAAAGCATAATATCTGATGTGAGAAATCCACTGAATGGGCTTAAAAGTACATTAGAGGGAGCAGGTAAAAAGGTAATTAAACCTGAAGACAAATTAATAGAAATGAACCAATCTTAATAAGAAAGCGAAATTTTAAAAATTACAAAGCAGTGCTGATATGAATCAATATCAAGTAATGTAATAAACATGTAGGTAGTTTGAGTCCCAAGAGAGGAGAGCGATAAAGGTATAGATATAATGTTTAAGGAAATAATAGCATTTATTTTTTTCAAAATTTGACATAAAATATACTACCTGTGAACTCTAAAAGAGGCAAAAAAAAAAAAAAAAAAAAAAAAAGAGACAGACTCTATACGACGTAAATAAAGGAAATAAAGACATAAAGCTATCTACTCAAAAACTACATAATTGTCCATTAAAAAATCCTGGAGAATTTTTCAACAAATTGTTTGATAATTGTGTAAACAATACTTCCTATAAAGCTATAATACCCAATAATGTGAAGGATTGGTATAAGAGGAAACAAATCCATAGAAGAGAATAGAAGTCTAAAATTAGAGCTAACTATATATGGTCAATTTTCTTTTCTACAAAGGACTTAGGTAGTCCAATGGCTAAATGAAAGTATCTAAAGGGTGGTATATTAAGTGGGTATTCATAAAATAACATACCCCTACCAAATACCATATTCTTTTAGAAAAAAATTTTTAATGTTTATTTAATTTTGAGAGAGAGAGAGAGAGAGAGAGCATGAGTAGGGGAAGGGCAGAGAGAGAGGGACACACAGAATCCTAAGCTGTCAGCACAAAGCCTGACAAAGGGCTTTAACTCACAGACCAGGAGATCATGACCTAAGCTAAAGTCAGACACTTAAATGACTGAGTCACCTAGGCACCCCCCAAAATATCACATTTTAAAGTTTATTCAAGTATATGAAAGGTCCAAAAATAAAATTAAAACTCAAAAGATTCCAAAAGAAACCTTAGGATAATTTCTTTGAAAGTTTATGATAATCAAAGACTTCTTAGAGAAAATACAAAAAGTAGACAAAAAAACACCTGAACTCACCATTAAAAAAAGATAAATTAATCTTTTCAAATTAAAGCTTCAATATTTTTCAAAAGAATTCGTAAAGAAAATGAAAAAGCATGCTACAAACTGAGGAAATACAATTGAAATACATGTATCTGACATTGCTTTATACCCAGAATCTATAAAGAATTCCAAGTCACTTAGGCAAACAACTCAAAAAAAATAAAGGCGTGAGAGGTGGCTGGGTGGCTGAGTCAGTTAAGCATCTGACTCTAGATGTCAGCTAAGGTCATGATCACATGGTTCATGAGTTTGAGCCCCTCATAGGGTTCCATGCTGGCAGTGAGGAGCCTGCTTAGGATTCTCTCTCTCCCTCTCTCTGCCCCGCCCCAGCTCTTCCTCTCTCAAATAAATAAACTTAAAAGTAATAATAAAAATAAAGGCTTGAACAGGCATTTCATTAAAGCAAATTCATCAAAGTCCATCAAATACATGGAATGCCACACAACATCGTTGTTATTAGGGAAATAGTATCACAAAAAGAAAGTTCTCTGCCCACATTAGAATGAGTAAAATTAATGCTTATATTTCATTCTAATCCTTATCTCCTAGCCATCCCAAATATCTCTCCTCTAGGAAAAGAGTTGATTACTCATGTATACTTCAACAGACATTTTATGCATATGTGAACATATAAAACACATAGTTGTTTTCCCTTTTTTAATAAAAATAATATCCTTTGGTATGTACCTCTGTTTTTTGGACATCTGTCCATATTAGTCCATAAAAAGATTGCTCATTTTATTTGTAACTGCATCATATTCCATTTAAGGGCTTCAGTTAAGCACGATAAAAATCCTTGAGTCGTATGGGTTCAAATATTTAATGCCAAATAATGATTTCTCTTTTATATTTCTTTGCCCAAGGACCAACTGATGTGTACATGAACAATGATAATAAGTAAACATAATAAATAATGATAAGGTAATGGATAATGTTACTACTGCTATTATACTGTGTAGATCATCTAATATTCAAATATCATCTAAAACCTCAAAAAATTATAACATTCCACAGTTATTCACTTTAAAACATATGTTAAATAATAAGTTTTTCTACTTGCCTTGAGTAAACTCAGAGGAAAAGAATATAACTGACTATGTACTTCGGACACTTTGGATGAAGGAACAATAAACAAAAATGTAGGCAAAAATTAAACAAGAGAGTACAGTTTGTAGCAGAAGGTTTTATAACTCTCAGAAAAGAGGAAGGGGATAAACAATATTACCTCTCCATCAGAGTAATCCAAAATTAAACAGAAAATTTCATCATAAACTCTTCATGTTGTTTTATGATCTTTTTATTCTCTCATATACAATACTTCAAAAGCATGTTGTCAGTCTTTTGTTTTGTTTTTTGTTGTTGTTGTTTTTTACTTTCTCTTATCCTAATTGCTTGAAGTGAATGAACCTGTCCTCACTTTTAAAAAATCAGTACCTTTTTAAGACCAAATCTCCCTCCGAGTGAAAACTGATTTTATGGATGTCCGTAGCAGTGAAACAACTGAATGAATCAAACCTCCATTCAGGAATGTTCAGGGCTTTTTGGCCACCAGTGTCACGTGTACTATGGCTTCTGTATTGCTTATGTGAATGGACTATTGTTTCTGTGTATTCAACTTCCAAAAACTAGGGCAAGCATTTAATTTTTTTAAGTCTTCTCCCCACTCCAGTTCTCCATTTCACTTGCCCCTCTGTCCAGAAACAGCCACTGTTACAAATCTCTTGGCTCTATTTCCTGTGTGATTCTGTTATTTAAATAAATGGTAGTAGGCTGTCTATAATAATAAATGGAATTAAATGCACAGCTGTAAGAAATCTTATAAATGTTTTCACACCTAATAATATAATTTAAAATTTCAAGACCCAAACCTTAATTTCAGAAAGTGTGTTCTTGCTGTCTGTGCAGCTCAACTGTAGAAATTATGCATTGTATACTACTTTCAAAACTTTGAAGTATAACACAAGTGAAAAGTTGTAATGCATTGCTTTTGAGTTTAGAAATGAAGCCACCTGGAGGCTGAGTGTAAAAGAAATGTTTCATCAGTGGCTTTCCACCACTGCCTCTTTACATACTGAGATGGAACTCAAGCTCATAGACCTCTCAGAGGAACACAGGAAAAGGCGGAAGTTACTTAGGCACCAGTGTTCCGTATTCACGAACTAATACCTGACCCAATACGTGGCTTGACCTGGAGCAGAGCTGCTATAAAAATGTAATTCTCCTTTAACCCCTCCATGTAAATCATCAGAAAGCTTTCCTTTACTGATTTAAACAAATTTGGTCTTTGACCTCTACAGTCAGAATTGGCCTCAACAACTCTTTCAGACAGTTGTAGTATTTGACTATTTGATGTATGTCAACTGCCATAAAATGCAATGCTATTTCACCACAGATCTTCAAATAATGTCACATATGTCCAAAGCCATAATAACAGTCTCTTTACTCCAAGTAAATCAGTAGCATGAATACTGCAGATTAATGAAATAATGTACTTTGTGTATCAAGCTTTGGTATCTAATGCAGCTGTTATTTGCTGTATTGTTCAACCATCTGCAACACCTGTCAATGTGTTTCCTATGGAACTTCAAAACACTCCCAACAAATACCAAATGCTTGAAAAGGTTCTCATGTACATAAGCAAAAATTTTTCTAGGTCTCTGATTTTTGGTATTTGACAACCAGCAGAGTACAATAGTTCATAAAACAATCAGTTGCTTAATGATCTATCTGCAAAAATTCAAATCTGACAATTTGAGATACCACAGACAATCCAAAAAATTATATATGCTACTTTTCTAGGGGGAGAAAAAGCTAAACGTACTGAACATTCTCTAAATAAATCCTAAACTCTAAAATAAAGCAGGATTTCCAATCAAAAGAGTTTTCATAATTTCTTTAAGAGTTAAACTTTTTTCAGAGTCCCTACTAACTGATATGTATGTGTGTAAGTATAAATATGTAAATAAAAATGTATCAATATTATATATTTTAAATAGTTAAATATTTTTATTATTATATAATAAATCATATTATAAAATAAATATTTTAAATAAGTTACATTCAATAGATAAATTACATATATGTATATATTTATAAATATATAAAATTATATATATATATAAATTTATATATTTAAGTTGAAATGAATTTCAACATCTTTGGGTAAACAATGTTTAATAAACTGTAATACAGGAAGATACTGTATTGAATATAGTATTAGAATGTTTTGGTACTTAATAGTTCAAAAATTGTTTTATTTAATTGAGACCAACTGGCCTCATTGCTTCTTATAAACTTTGCAATATATATTCAATATAAAAGGAATAAAAATGAACAGATGTTTCTCCTTAAAGAAGGCAGACAAAGATTTTTCTTACACAATAAATCAGCTGCTAGTGGATTTCCAGGACATTGCTTCAGGCTAACTATTTAGGTATAGAACTTTAAAAACAAAAAAGAAAAAAAAGTCACCTCTGTGTGGATCCAAAATTGGTAGAGAAGATTGAATTGAAGATGAACAGCATATACTGAAGGCGGTATGAAGAGGGCCAAGGGAGAGTAGAATATCTGAAAAATTAAAAATTTAAAAATTTGCACATCTTATTTCTCAACATGAAATATACTTTTACTAATGACTGAATGTTATGAGTATAAACTTCATGAATACATCTTATTCTTTAGCAAATATGCCTTATTCTATATATTTTATTGCCACATTTGACCTTGCAACATTAATTTTCCACAAGGTGATAAAGTTACAGACAGGTAGAAGCTAAGTTCACCAGACTTTTAGTCCGTATTTAATACTAATTAAAATAGCATACATGGTGTGTTATTTCCTTAATCTTGAAAAGGTTGGATGTGTTTCCTGGGAGTAAAGAGGTTTTTCTTATACACAGAGATACTCACTTTAGTTGGAAAAAAAAAAAAAGTATCCTGTGCCTTTATGCATTGATGGCTCCCAAACTGTATTATGGCCCAGCATGCTGAGTAATGAAATGAAATTCTATTTTGAAAAGGTAACTTCATATAAGAAGTTTTCTCTTTCAAATATGGTTTTATGTAGTTGATTGAGAGCACGATATGTCCTAATTTTTTTTAAGTGACTAAGGAAGAAGCTATGATATGATGCCATAGTGGAAATAAATTTTAAAGGTCCATATTTCCTAACAGACGGAAATGCCTTTGCCTTAGAAAAACAACTTATGCTTAAACCGCAGAACTGGTTAGAATCAGCTAATAGGCATAGTCTGCTGTGTTCTGCTAATGACTTTGATCTCCAAGAGTGATTTCATGTTGTAAAAAAAAAACATTTAATTAAATGACATGCTAAACAAACAAATAAGAATAAAAAGAATCATACTTTCACTTTACATTCCGGATTTTCTTGAGTTAGTATTTCCAGACAACTAGCTATTTTAAAAAGATTTCTTCTGATTATTACAATTTTATTTCTGTTAAAGCTTTTGTTCTCAATTAGGCCAATATCATTTCAACTGTGTTTAGTTTGATTGTGAATTTAAAATTGGACATTTACAAAAACCATTCCCAGTTTTGTTTTGAACCTTAAGTCATGAAAAATCTCAACTGTCATCACAACCAGGATCATTTTTATTATTTATAAATGTATTATTAAAGATGGATTGGATTGGTGAGTAACAAAAGAATATTGGGCTCTTTTTTAAGACATCCATTTTAAGTCTTGGATCTACTGCAGAATCTCTCCGTGATGTTCACAAAGTTCTTAAACCTCTTTATACTTTAATTTTCTCATTCAAATGGTGAAGGAGAAAACCATTTGAAACTTAGCCATCCTTTTGGTTTCAAAAGATTTATGATAGTCTTTTTTGACTTATTAAAATATATTCAAATAGATCTCTTACAGTAGGTTAATAAAAAAAATTTGAAACACATATATAATATATGATTTAAGTATTTTTTTTTTTTAAATAATGTTTGGGGAAACACAAGGTGGCATTCGGTTCGCGTCGACTTCAGCCGGAGTCCGCGATCTCGCGGTCGGGAGTTTGAGCCTTCCCGTCGGGCTCTGGGCTGATAAAGCCAGAGCCTGGAGCCTATTTCGGTCTGTCTCCCTCTCTCTCTGCCCCTGTACGTTCATGCTCCTGTCTCTCTGTCCCAAAAATAAATAAACGTTGAAAAAAAAATAATGTTTATTTACTTTTGAGAGAAAGAGAGAGAGAGAGGGGTGTGAGTGGGGGAGGGGCAGAGAGAGGGAGACACAGAATCCCAAGCAGGCTCCAGACTCAGCTGTCAGCACAGAGCCCGCCCGCCCCAGGTGCCAAACCCACAGACTGGGAGATCATGACCTGAGCTGAAGTCAGATGCTTAACCAACTGAGCCATCCAAGCGCCCCTATGATTTAAGTAATTTAGGTTAAGGACTATTTTGGAATCTTGGAATTGTGAATAAAAATGTAAAACAACTTAGGTTGGATGTTTAATAAATAGTTTTATTCAGAAAGAGAGTGCATACCAGGTGAATATTTATCGTCATTATAATTCCCCAAAGTGTGAATAAATAGTCCTTTGAGATAACAGCTGCTGTGGAAAAAGGGATTCTAGGATCAAATAAGTTGTGAAGTGCTGAGTTAAACAAGTTAAATTTGTTTACCACAGAACTTTTCGGAGCCTTTACCATGCTAATGTGAATCACAAGTGTGTTAGCCCATTAAATACTTCTCTTGTTTATTTATTGAGAGAGAGAGGAGAGAGAGAGAGAGGGAGAGGAAAAAGGAGAGAGAGGAAAGAGGAGAGAGAGAGAGAGGAAAGAGGAGAGAGAGAGAGGAAAGAGGAGAGAGGGTGGAGAGAGACAGAGAGACAAAGAGACAGAGAGAATGTGAGCAGGGGAGGGGCAGAGAAAGGTGGAGAGAGACAGAGAATCCCAAGCAGGCTTCACACTGTCAGCACAGAGCACAATGGAGCCTCCATGTCAAGAAATATGAGATCACGACATAAGCTGAAATCAAGAGTGGGACGCTTAACCACCGACTGAGCCACCCAGGTTGCCCCATTGAATACTTTCTCAAGGAATTTCCCACAGGATTAGATTTCCTAAAAGTACATTTGATGAACCAAGGTCTCAAATCTTACCAATCAGTATATATAATTATCAGAAAACTGGAAAAATGAGTTCAGCATGAATTCCAAAAAAGGAAACTTCTAATAAGAAATATAAATACATTAGGGCACCTGGGTGGCTAAGTTGGTTGACCATGCGTGACTTTGGCTCAGGTCATGATCTCACAGTGTATGGGTTCAAGCCTCACTTCAGGCAGGCTCTGTGCTGACAGCTCAGAGCCTGAAGCTTGTTTTGGATTCTGCCCCTCCTCTGCCCCTCCCCTGCTCACTCTCTCTCTCTCTCTCTCTCTCAAAAATAAACCAACATTAACAACCAAAAGAAAGAAAGAAAGAAAGAAAGAAAGAAAGAAAGAAAGAAAGAAAGGAAGAAAGAAAGAAAGAAAAATACAAGACAGGGAGTAAGTCTCATGAACCACATGAAAGTTAATTTCGTTCTAATTTCTAAAATGAAAGCAGCCTAGCAAATGTCCAGGTCTGAAATCCCTCCCTCATCTTCTGTACCTCACATCTTCACATTCCTAAATCCTCTGTAGTTTTTAAAACCAACTTAAGTGTCAGTTCCATCGTAAAGCCTGAAATGATACTAATTTAGGAGAAGAAATTTCTGCTTCCTCAAAGTTAAACTCTCAGTACCTGGGTCAGGGAACATTATACCATTTACCAAAGAACTCCATTTCTGCCATGCGCTCACCATGTCATTCTGATTCCAAGTCTCTTTAGCTTTAAATTTGATTGTCTACCCTGGGTTATTTTATTACATTTTAGTGGAAGTCATATACAACAGGTTCTTAAAGGAGAAAAATAACCCACACGTATGTGTGTGTGGAAAGAATGAGGATAGTCCTACAGTTGACCTTTGGTTACTGGATGAAAAATGAGTGGGTTTTATTCTGCTCATCACGTGAACAGAGCAGCCTGGGATTGTGTGAAGGGTACCATGAAGTAGGACACTAAGGGGAACTGTAAGTATCTCTGCCTTGCTGAAAGTGTTGGAGAGTGTGTCCAGAGACTGGATTGGACAATGGGGTTCACTGACAGATCTAAGGGAGTCTGTGAACCCCTTTAATATCACTACAACAAAACATGAGTTTGTGTGCATGGGGGCATATGTAATTTTCTGAAGAAACAATCTATGGCTTTCTTCAGAGAGTCTCTGGTCAATCTCTCTCACCATCACAGCCAAATGAAAGTAAAAACAAATGATAATTAGACGTTAGTCAAAACCAGGAGGCGAGGCATTTAATTCCATTCTAAGGAGACTAGATTTATCCTAGATTGTGAGAGAGCAGTTACATTTGTTTAAGCGTGTGAGAAATATAAAAATAATTTTGAAATCTAGTTCACTGGCCCAATGGAAAGTCACCCACATTTAACCACAGCAGTAGCCATGGGGATTAAAGGGCATGCAAGAAATCTAAGGCTGTGGTAACTATTTAAACATAGATGAGAGGGACAAAGCAGTATCAGAAGACCTCCAGATTTGTGGCTTGTGTGTGGCTTGTGTGTGATAACTGCTCACCAAGACAGCAGACAGGAGGAAAAAGAGGTTTATAAAGTTCAACTTAGGGAATGCTGTGTTGGAGTCTTTGAGATATATCCCAAGGAAGCTACTGAGTAAGCAAATATGTTCTGCAAGTATCAACTGAATTGAAAAATGACACTGGATTGGACAGTGGAGAAGTAGGCTTGAAATCGAGACCTCAATAAGTTTAAAAATGATTCAAAGGAGTAGATGAAATAGAGGTAGGGATTATTTACTTCTCTTTTTCAGAAAACAAAGAAGGAGAGAGGTGGGGATATTCTTTCAGTAGAACATGGATGAGGGAGAAGATTTTATTTATTTTTTTAGTGTGAGAGATATGAACATATTTTTTGGTATACTCAGAAGGAGCCAGTTAAGAGGAAGAAGGACACATGCCAAAAGTAGCTGGTCAGACAAAGTCCAGGACAGAAACTCAGACAGGAGCAATGTCACCAATCTGAGAATAAGACCTGTTCAAAACAGGTGAACATTTTCTATAAACCTAGAGACAAGAAAGTGTGTGCACTTGTGAATTCACAAATCTTAACGAGTATATCTAAAAGAAAGTAGAGTGAGGGAAAAACAGGAAAACTCACATTCTCTGTGAAGTTTTAAATATAGTCACTGGCTGAAAGCAAGGGGCATCAGTGGAAAAGAGACCTTGAGGAGACTGAAGAGTTCTGGAAGGTCTTCTTCCAGGTAAGGAGGAGGCTCATGTTTGGCGCTTGGTGAGCAGCACTCAACTGATAGCTCAGCTCTGTCTGGAAGCCATACGTGGAGGGCAATGAGCTGCCAGCTGGTGCTACAGGGCGCCCACAGGAGCTCAGCAAGCTGGGTGTGGGAATGAAGTACGTGGGCAACCGGATTCAAACACAGCTTGGGGATTTCAGGACAGATGCAACAGAAGGAGGCAGACTGTTTTCCAGAGTCAAAGAAATTACGCATTT